ATTGTATCCTGGAGTATGGGCTATAATACAAAGATTTCTAGTTGACAAGGGTCACTGAATCATTGTTTTTCTGCAAAGGGGCAGTAGGTCAAGTAAACTTGGGAGTATAGAATTAATGGTCTTAGAAACCCTAGATATAGGGTTGCTTTTAGTCAGAATCAACCTATTGGCAGTAGATTTGGTTTGGGGCATTAGAAAAGGAATAGAAAAATAAAATATTGAGAATTGAAAAACAGACCCAAGCATATAAAAATAAATTCTAACTGGATTCAGCCTAACTCTGAAATGTAAAATATGAAAGTATATAAACTGAAGATGATAGAGTAGAAAAGGATTTCTTAACACACACAAAACACAAACAATAAGAAAAAATACTGATAAATTCAATATTAAACATAAAGGCTCACATATATAAAGACACTGCTTTTAAAGAGAGAAAGCCCACTGATTTAAAGAAAATATTTGCAGTACATAAAGCTAGCAAGGATTAGTATCCAGAATATATACATACACGTATTTTTTTCTCTTAAATCAATAAGAAAAAAAGACAAGCCAATAGAACAATTGGCAAAAATATATAAAGAGGTAATTTTCAAAAGAAGAACCCCAAATAAATGGTGAATAAACATGAAAATGTGCACAATCTCACTAGGTACCAGGAAAATGCAAGAAACTGAGATATCACATTGCCCCACTGAATTTACAAAAAACGTTAAAGTTTGACAAATGGCAAGAATTGATGAAGATGGAGTTTTGGAAACTCGAAAAACCTGAAATTCGTATAGCTGCTTTAAGAGCAATTTGGCAATACTTTGCAAAATGAAGTTGCGTACACCCCATAAGCCAACAATTATTTGTCTACTAAGGGCTGGGCCACCAGAGTTCTATTAGAAAAAATTTGCATGTATACAAAAGAAGATGTACACAAAGACTTACTACAACATCTCTTATAACTCCCAAATTTAAAAACAGTATGGATATCTAGTAACAGGAAAAGTAATAAATTCTAGTTTATTAATTAAATGGAAATTAATGAACTAGAACAATACAGATAAATCTCAATGGTGTTGAGTAAGTAAAACAAGTGCAAGAAGTGTACACATCATTTATTTAATGATTAAAAACTTTCAATATAATGCTACATGGTGTTTAAGAATATTATGAGCAAAAGAAAGACCCATAGGGGGATGATAATTATTAAAATTAAAAGTGTGTCATTTGGGAGGGAGTGGGAAGGGCACTACAGAGTTTCAATTCTGTTTTATATCCGTCTAAGTGAAAACTATAAAGGAATTTGTGACAATTGTTCCCTATGCCTTAAATATGTCACAATAAAAGCAAAGTTTAAGGAGAAAGCTAAACCTCACTGGATTTGATGAGAAGGAATTTTGTGGAAATTTCTCTTGTGGGACTTGTCATAAAGTTGTTGTTGCCATGCCGGTGCGGAGCAGGGAACCAGTGGAGAGGTCTGGGGGGCTGGGCCCAATCCCAACTACTACATGGACACCTGCCCCTCCCCCCCGAAGAATTTATTCCAAAGGATGGCATTGAATCTGCAGCTCCTGGAGAGGGACATATCTGATCGGAGCACACGGGAGCAGATGAAGGGGGAGGACGACAGAATGGAGCGCATCCTGGCCCACCAGGCCTTGAAGACGATGTTCCCAATTAGAGCAGAGGACCCACAGAG